ACCCCGGCCGCAACGACCGAAGGGAACCGGGGGGCAACGCCCGGGCTCCGCGGCCTTCCTGCCTGGTCCATCCCTGCCCGGTCCATCCCCGCCCGGTTCACTCTCCCCGTTTCCCCCTGCTCTGCCCGGTGCCGGTGATTTTTCCAGGTACATCCCGGTTCCCCTCCCGGTTTGTTCTGCCCGGTGCATCCCCACCGAAGGCATCCTTGCCCGGTGTCGTGATTTTTCCCGGTACATCCCGGTGTGTCCTGCCCGGTCCATCTCCGCCCGGTTCGCCCTGTCCGTTTCTCCCTGCTTTACCCAGTGCCGGTAATTTTTCCCGGTACATCCCAGTAGCCCTCCCGGTTTGTTCTGCCCGGTCCATCCCCGCCTGGTGCATCCCTGCCCGGTTGACCTTGTCCGTTTCTCCCTGCTTTATCCGGTGGTGTGATTTTTCCCAGTACATCCCAGCACTCCCGATTTCTTCTGCCCGCTCCATCTCTGCTCCCCACCCCATTCGCTCTTCCCGTTTAGCCGCTTTGCCTGATGCCGGTAATTTTTCCCAGTACATCCCAGTACCACTCCCAGTTTGTTCTGCCCGGTGCATCCCCACCGGGTCCATCCCTGCTCCCTGCGTCCCTGGCCGGTGCTGTGCCCGGTGCCGTGATTTTGCCCGGTACATCCCAGTACCTCCCAGTTCTCCTCCCGGTTTATCCCTGCTCGCTTCCCCGTGCTTTGCCCGGTACCAGTGATTTTCCCAGTACATCCCAGTATCCCTCCCGGTTTGTTCTGCCACTCCATCCCCGCCCGGTTCATCCCCAGTCCCTGCATCCCTGCCCAGTGCTTTGCCCAGTGCCGGTGATTTTTCCCAGTACATCCCAGTACTCCCGATTTCTCCTGCCCAGTCCCTCCTCGCCCGGTTCACTCTCTCCATTTTGCCGTGCTTTGCCCGGTACCAGTGATTTTTTTCCCAGTACACCCCAGTAGCCTTCCCAGTTTGTTCTGTCCAGTCCATCCCTTCTCCCTGCATCTCTGCCTGGTGCTTTGTCCGGTGCTATGATTTTGCCCGGTACATCCCAGTACATCCCAGTTCTCTTCCCGGTTTATCCTTGCCCGTTTCCCCGTGCTTTGCCCGGTACCAGTGATTTTTTTCCCAGTACATCCCAGTAGCCCTCCCAGTTTGTTCTGCCGGTCCATTTCAGCCCGGTCCATCCCAGCTCCCTGCATCCCTGCCCGGTGCTGTGCCCGGGGCAGTGATTTTTCCCAGTACATCCCAGTACCACTCCCAGTTTGTTCCACCTGCTGTATCCCTGCCTGGTCCATCCATGTCCGGTGCTTTGGCCAGTGCCGTGATTTTCCCCAGTACATCCCAGTTACATCCCAGTACTCCTCCCGGTTTATCCCTGCCTGTTTCCCAGTGCTTTGCCTGGTGCCAATGATTTTCCCAGTACATCCCAGTTCTCCTCCCGATTTGTTCTGCCCAGTCCATCCCTGCATCCCTGCCTGGTCCATCCCTGCTCGGTGTCGTGATTTTGTCCGGTAATCCCAGTTACATCCCAGTACCCCTCCTGGTTTATCCCTGCCCGTTTCCCCGTGCTTTGCCCGGTACCAGTGATTTTTTTCCCAGTCCATCCCAATACATCCCAGTTACATCCCAGTACTCCTCTCGGTTTATCACTGCCCGTTTCCCCATGCTTTGCCCGATGCCGTGATTTTTTCCCAGTCCATCTCAGTTTATTTTGCCCAGTCCATTCCCGCCCGGTCCACCCCAGCTCCCCGCATCCCTGCCCAGCGCATCCCAACGCCGCTGCCCCCCTCCATGTACCCCCAATTCACCCTCTGTTATTTTCTGTCCCTCCTCCCTCAGTGCCCTCCAAATTCTTCCCGGGCCCGGGGGGGCTGAACGAGAAGCGGAAGCAGCGGCGGATCCGCACCACCTTCACCAGCTCCCAGCTGAAGGAGCTGGAGCGCGTCTTCGCTGAAACCCACTACCCCGACATCTACACCCGAGAGGAGCTGGCCCTCAAGATCGACCTCACCGAGGCCCGGGTGCAGGTGAGCTTTTTTTGGGGGGGTGGACACTATGGGGAGACCCCCTCCCCATGACTCGGC